GCCCCGGGGACACAGCGCGGACCCCGGCCCAGACCCCCGCTCTGGCCCGAGGCCTCTGCAGCAGACCAGTCCCTGCCCCGGGCTCTCCCTGGCGAGTTCCACCTCTCCCTGCCTCAGTCTCCCTATCTGAGATGTGGGAAAACCCCAGCACTGATGAGGTTCCTGGTGCCAGCCCCTCCCCCCAGCCTGCCCTGAAGTCGCCCCTGTTGAGGGGTCAGGGAGAAAGGCCGGTGGGAGCCTGTGCTTGCTGGGAGCACCGTGGCCTTCCTGGGAGTCCGTAAAAGACATGGAGGAAAAAGAGTCACTGGAGGCCCCCACGAGGCACAGCTTGGAGAGGGGCGGTGAGGGGGCACATTCCAGGGGTAAGAGGTGCCCCAAAGACCCCCAGCGTGAAGAGTTCCCTGCAGCAGCAGAGGCCAGCCCATGGCCACGCACCCTGGGGATCCTCTGCCCCCACCCACCCTCCTGCACTGTCTGCAGAAATGAGCTAGCGCCACGTCCCAGCTTGGAACACGGGGCAGGAGGAGGGCACAGGCCAGGACTGCACACTCAGAAACGAGCAGGCTCGGGCCGGCCCGTGGCTCACTCGGTAGAGTGCGGTGCTGATAGCACCAAGGCCACAGGTTCGGATCTCATATGGGGATGGCCGGTTTGCTCACTGGCTGAGCGTGGTGCTGACAACACCAAGCCAAGGGTTGAGATCCCCTTACCGGTTAAAAAAAAAAAAAAAAAAAAAGAGAAACGAGCAGGCTCCTGCAGGCAGCCAAGCACAGCTCAGCCTGCATCCCAGGTCTGGAAGCCTGGGTGTCAGTGCTCTCTGCCAGCGCTGCCCCCGCGCCACCTCCCCACACTGACATGCATGGGAGGGAGATCTGCCAACAACCCCAGGACTTCAGCCACGCTTGAGAGTCTGTGGCCATTCCGAGCTATCCCCCAGCTGCTGCAGAACTAACTGGAGCCAACGCTCCTCAGCTCATTCACCCTTCCTGTCCCTGAAGAGGTCCACCAGGACAGAGAAGTCCAAGGGTTGTCATGGCGACCCTGTGAGATGCTATGCACAGCAACATAGGACTGGGTTGGGTGTTCTGAGTGGAAGAGTCGCTTCCCTTTGAGGCTAAGACTGGCGCTGAGGGCACCCTGCTGTCTTCCAACCCAGCACGCCCACTCAGACGAGACTCAGAGCAAGGTGTCACCCCAAGCAGGACCACGTGCCACAGTCCCCCCTCCAGCGGATGCTTAGGGGGCATGTGCCTCAGTCTGCCCAAGTGTTCCTGGTGAAGAAGCCAGAAGACTGCTCCATCTCTGCCCCTGGTTGGTGCTGTGACGCCTGGAGAGTGGCAGCCACTTTGCTCCAATTCCTCGGTAGGAAGTGGGGGTGGCATCGCTGAGCACAGGGTCAGCCAGCCCTGAGGCTGCCTTCCCCGGGACTTGCTGTCGTCAGAGATAACGCTGTGCAAGCCAGCTGGAGCAGAGTTGTTCTGTGACTGTTTACAGGGCTAAGGAAAGTTTATTCTAGATCTTCAATGCTAGATAGAGAGGTGGGC